CTTTTGGCGGCTTAAAACTTTTGTGCAAAACGCATTAAAGATGCAAACGAAGTCTCAGCCGCAGCCACGGAATCGTGTCAATGACACATTGTCCAAAAGACAACAATAACGGCAATAAAAACCACAATTGCACCACCGAAACCACTGCCAAGCGTCAATCGTCAACAGCAACCAAGCTGTCAAAGCCGCATTGCAATCGTGGCCAAAACGGAATCATAACCGCGCGCCTAGATTCTTCCCTCTTCGGGCAGTGGGCCACCTTTCGCTTTGTCTGTCCGCCATGCCCCTCTCCCCGGGCACCTTGGCAAATGCAATGCCATTGCCGTTTGGCTAAATGACTTGCCAATTCTTATGAATATTTAATTTTATGCTCATGCTCATGTTTGCTGTATGGAAATCGGAGAGTTTGCCCAAAAATGAAAATGAAAATTTCATGTAAGAGTCGAAATGACGATGGGCTGCACAGTGGGGCGAGCTACGATACTACATACATATGTGAAAGTGTTCAAATTGAAACTTAAATGATCAGAATATGTTAATATTTTTCTAATTATTCATTATATTTTTGTCATATGGTAAAAATGTTTAAATACGTTTGAATTGCAAAAGCAAGAATTGTGTATTCTCTTGCCCACCGTGCAAAGTGTTTATTCGGACATCTGAAACACATTTTTTTCAGCTTGCACTTTGGACTTTGCTGCTGTTATGCAAATATTTAAAAGGTTGAAATTGGAGAAACGGCATTTTATGCAGCCGGGAAGAGCTCTGGGAAGCATTGAAATGAGAGAGTCCAATAAAAAGCGTATAAAAAGTACAGCAAAGTTCAATTGTATCAATTTGGGCGGCAGCATTTTTGTGCGAAAATAAATTAAAAGCGCGCAGGCCGCCGATTTGGATTTGGAGCCAACGGGGCGGGGTAGAGCGGGCCTGCTGCAGGCGACCAGTTGCGGCCAACTGGTAGAGCTCATCAATCATAGCCATCAATCAGACGTGAAGATCAGCCAGAAAGAAAGGCAGAGAGAACCACAAAAGAATACCCACTGATGTAGGCAACTTTGAAGTTGGCGGCGCACGCCATAAAAATCCAAAACGTGGCTGAGCGATTTTGTGGTCCATTTCAATTACGAGCAACAGCTATATGCGCTATATGTCTATGGGAAGCTCGTAAGATCTAGTGGAATGAAAGAAAACTTGCTCGAATAGTATTCAAGCAAATAGTTTTCACAGCATTTTTCAGTGCGGCCAGACAAATGTAAAATCCTTGCTCCCACGATAATTTACTCAGACCATTTACACAAATTGCGATGATCTCATGCCACTTGGACATTCTCAATTGTTTCACATCTTTTCTATTTGCATTGATTTTATTACACCATATTTTGTGCAAATGAACAAAACAAATTAACAAGTGCAAAAATGTATCATCAATTTGAATGCTCTTCTGAGGAAGTGGCCTAGTGCCAAGGCAATGCGAATACAGCCAAAAAAATGCGGAAATGAAACAGCGCCAAATTATTTTCTGGTGCTCAGTACGAGCCCCTATTTCAATTCATTCTTTTGCATATGCATATTTATTTTAAAGTTTTTATAAGAATTAATTAAACTGTTGACATGCAAATTCCGCTCACTATTTCGAGTGTTGCCTCATTTTTTTTAATGTTTAATTTTTTTATAATAATTAATTGAACTGTTGACATGCGAATTTCCTCTTTGCTCGTGTGTTCTCTTCAAGTGTAACTGGAAAAATACCTGTCTTGGAGATTTATTTTATTCTCACCGTTCTTATGTTAGGGTACCAAATTTCTTTAAGAATTTGAAGCTCAATTTGCAATTCCAATTTATTGCCAAACCTTTAACAACAATTTAACCTTACAATTAGCGTATTAGCTTTGAAGAGTTCTTAAAAACTTTGAAGGTTCTCTGCGCATAGCCCTTCCATAATTCCCAGAATTTTAGAGGCAACCCAAATGCATTCTGGGCCACAGCGAACTCTGCGTCATTCGCTTACCACACGAACAATTGGCACGCCCCCATTTTATTTGTCTGGTCGCTGTCTGTTACCTCATTAATTAAAACATTGTGAGCCGGTGTGTGTGATTCTATATGCATTGCTGTGTGTGCAATTATGTGCTCATGCGCTATTTTTAAGTGTTTACGGTGAAAGGTCTTTGGCAGTGTGTCGCTGAATTGCCGGCAAATAAACAAATCGAAAGTGAGAATATGAGAAAATGAGAAAGCGGGTGGGAGGATAAAAATATAAAACACACGTTTCTCTCGTGCGACTGCCTGTTAAGTTTTCTTAGAATTGAAAATCAAGGTGGGAATTACAATTTTCATTTTCACCTGGATTTCTAGCTGGTTCGAGATCAGGGTCTTTTGTAAAAATCGAAAGAACGACCAAGGGGCGTATGTATGTATGTACCCACGTATGTATGTATGTTTGTATGTATGCATGTATGTGTGGATGTATGTCGGGTTGTCTTCTATACCAATAACAGACCAATTTGGCTTGTTGCGTGGCAAATTTTAATAAGAAAACGTATTTGTTAAAGCTGCCCTCCTCCTCGATTCTCAAAAGTGTAAGTAAGACTTGCAGGCTGCACCTATAAAATAGGCGCAAGCAGCTGTAACGCTGAAAACAGTGGAGCATGGCGAAGGAGCAGCAGGGAGACCAACCGGACCGGAGCAGGAGGCATGGCCATCGTATGTATATATGTATGTGTGTATGTATGTATGTATGTATGTAAGTATGTAGGTATGTATGTATGTATGTATGTATGTATGTATGTATGTATGTATGTATGTATGTATGTATGTATGTATGTATGTATGTATGTATGTATGTATGTGTGTGTGTGTGTGTGTGTGTGTATGTATGTGTGTATGTATGTATGTATGTATGCATGTATGTATGTATGTATGTATGTATGTATGTATGTATGTATGTATGTATGAATGTATGTATGTATGTATATACGAATGTATGTATGTATGTATGTATGTATATATGTATATATGTATGTATTTAAGTATGTATGTGTAAGGGAATATATGTAATGGAAGAAGGAGTAGCTTAAGTAATAGAGGAGGCGGCGGCTTTGATATTGGAGGAGATGGCAGCTTAAGTAAAAGAGGAGGCGGCGCCATGAACAATAGTAAAGGTGGACTCAACTATAGAGGAGGCAGTGGCTATGAATTTGTGAAAATATTTGGTACGTCTTAATGTTTAAATTTCGATTTGAAATTGAAATAATGCGACAAGATTCAAGCCAAAGTTTAAATTCATATATGTAAAAAGCTACGTTCACAAACCGACGTGAGACAAAACATTTTAATTAATGTAATTCAGAGATCCCAAGTTTGAAAAATGGTTAGCACATGTCATGATCATTATCATGTATATCGGTTACTCGACAATTTCACACGTATTTCAAGTCATGTCAAGTATTAAATAAGACACGTCATTTGTATCATTAAGCCATTATTTCCGCCAATTCCAGATAGCTGGTCGTACATTGTTTCATTTGTCACTCGTCAAGAGCTGATGCTGGGCTCTTCTTTGGCGACACAAGACGCGCGTTAAATATGGCACATATACCGCATATCAAGTGCCATTCAATGATTCTGGCACTATCATTCGTGAAATGACATCATGAAGCGACTCGTGGTCATGCATATTTAGCGCCAGATCGCATTCAATGACGGCGTCGCCATTAATCACAATCGCTGTCTGCGAGACGAAGCCGGGGTAAAAATAAAAGCGAAACCTCAACGTCAATTGCAATTGGCTGCGAATGCTAGCCTAGAGTATTACCACCCACACATGTGTTTTATAAAAACAAAAAAAAAAAAACAACTAAATGAAGAAGACATTGGGGAGCATGATATAGTATGCACTGGCACGAGTGGGAATTTGTATATTAAAGCATTGGGTGACTGGAAGATGTGGATGCGTAAAGTCGATCACAATTATTATGGGCTGGCCAGGCTGTTCATAGACGATGGTAGCTTAACTAAATAGCTGATATAGAGAGCACTTTGTTTCGAAAATACATCATTTTGTTAGAATGCACCACACAGTTTAGCTGCTATTCAAAGTTCTCATCCTTCTTGGCACCGATATACAGCACCGACCAGGACTTGTCCGGCATGTCAATGTCCAGTTTTTTCGAGTTGACACTGCGACAGGGACAAGTTCAGTTTTTATTCGCTTTCTTTCAATCAATGAATTATTGCATTCACCTTGTCTCCGAATTGACCATACGCTGACGCTGATGCAGTGGAATACAAGTCTGCTTGGGAGATGGTTTCAGTTCCAGAGACATTTCACTGGTCAGGGAATTGATGACAGCGGCACCGCCGGCCGCCTCAGAGCCCTCGCCTCCGCACTTTTCGACACCAAACTGTGAAGACATGATCTGGTAAACACACTAGCACTAGATACTAACCAAAAGTCTTCTAGGAATTTCTGTTTACAGTGCCCAAATATAGTTTCCTTAAAAAAATTTTTTTTCCTTCAAAAAGACCGAAGAATGAAAGCAACTAAACTAAAATGATTTGAAGCTTTGAATTGTGTATTTTTTTTTGTTGTTGTTGTGAAATACTAAAGCACAGCCTGCCCGGCAAGCTTAGAAATAAAACAAATTTCTATTGCCGGCTAATAAGATCCTAAGCAACAAACTTGTTTGCATTGCGACAAAATGTTATGTGTGCTGCCTAAAAGCATGCAACATTTTCGGATGCTTTGGGAATTGAATCAAACCAAAAATTATATCAAAAATTTGAAAATATATGGAAAATATATAAATGTGTGTAGATTGGAGAACTAGAAAAAAAAATCATTTGGTGTGAACTCTTATCTGCATTGCATTTTGGATATGAAGCTCGAATATGGCGATCCTGCCATGCTTTAGTTAACCCAAACATATATATGTCTATATATACTTATGTAGAAATCACAGTCAGAAACGGTCTAATATAAATTCCATTAAATGAATAAGTATAGCAATTAAATGATTCCCTCCCACAATTTATTTATAAAATTCACTTGATTAAAATTTATATCGAATCGTTACCAAAGATAAAACTAATGAATCAACACCTGTACGGCCAAAAGGTGTTTGCCACCGTCGGTCATTCGGTTGACAAAATTGCCAGGCAGGGCCATAACACGATTGCTGTTATAGATGGTCTTTAGCTTTTGGGCCGAACGAATATTGTAGACCTCGTTGGTTTGCACCATCAGGTATTCGACAATGGGTCGGCTACTTGTTGGCCAAACGGATATGGTGCCAATAATTTTGACATCGTCGGGTCGAATGCTGGTCAGCCAGATGAGAAAGATTTCCTGATCAGAGCCACCAGCCCTTGCGGTGGAGCGCGGCTTGGCAGGATTGTTGGATGTAAAAAAGTCGGGTGCGTGCAAGCGGGCGGTCATCACGAGCACCGGCAGCAGATCGGGATACTTTTCGGTGTTCTTGTCAATGAACTTGTCCTTGACAAAGTAGACCATATTGCATTTGGCTTTATTCAACAGTGTGACGCGCGTGTCCAGAAAGAAGGTCTTGGCCTTGCAGGGGGTAATGCGCTCCATGGCCAGCGAGGGATGTTCGTGTGTCAGATGATCGTTGAAGTCGGAAATGAAGAACATACGCCTGCAATCAGCATCGGGGCAGAAAATGGGCGAGCGGCAGACTTTCAGCGGGCGTGCCACATGTGGTTGCAGGACCTCCCGCTTGAGGGACAACAGACTGATTAGCTCATTGGGGCTGCACGGCAGGGTGGAGAACTGTGCCGGCGGTGGATCACGGCGATCCATCAGCTCTTTGGGCGTTAAATTCTGTAGCAACTGTTGTGGATCCTCAGGAAATCCACGGAATCTGGCCCGCTGCACCGTGGACACCAGCATGTGAAGCTTGCTTAGCAGACGCTTGGGCTTCATGGTGCTAAGCTCAGAATTTTCACATGTAACCAGTTGCAATGGTTCCTGATGCTTGCTCAGCTCTGTCATCTCGTCCACGCTGTCATCTGGATTAATATCGGTTTGTTTTTCGCTTTCTTCAAACTCCGTTTGACTCGCCAGCGGTGCGCTGGGCTCAAATAACAGATTCTTGTCCACCTTGTCTACGCTCGATTCGATTTTCTGCGTATTCTCATGCAGCGTGTCTAACATGTTCTCCAGTTTCTCGTCTAATGCATCACCGATAGTCTTCTCGTGGTCATTCTTTATATTTTCCAGATCATTAGTTTGCTCCTTATCTGAATATGTTGGCCCAAACTGGGCACCGCCTCGCTGCCGCTCTATGCCACTTTCATGGCTGACTTTCGGCTTTCGTTCCATTTCTAAGTCCCGCTGTCGCTTTAGCTCGATTAGCTCTGCTTTGACGCGGTTGCATTCATCCTCGACACGGTGACGTATGCGCTCCCATTCGCCGACCAGATTTTTCTTTTCCACCAGCTTATTGTGTAGATGTTCCTTGAACTCCTCCCTCTCCATTTTCTTCATATCTCTGGCCACCTCGTCCACGGTAAGCCTCTTGGTCACACCAATTGGCCCGTTAAAACTTCGCTTTTTATCGTAGTCCAGAGTTTTTGGCAAACTGAAGTCCATGATACGATCTCGTGCTGCCTTAAGCTCCTTTTTGGCACTGTTGGCCAGCAATTGATTTGTGCGCCGTTGCACCTCTTCTTGCCACGGATTCAACAGCTCCATTTCCTGTAGCTTGCCTATGGGCAGCTTGCTCTTAAAGCTTATAGGCCCACGAGTATCAGTATCATGGTCCTCCATCTGGTCCAGCAAGCTATTAAGCAGCCCATTTTCCTCTATTACGTTCAGATCCTCCAAGTGCACACGCTTATCCGGCTTCATGCCCAATTTTGATATGTCCTTGGCCAGGCAGCTGCGACGTTCGGCCTGCTGTTTGTCCAAGCGCGATTGATGAAATGACTCATTTACCACCGATTTGGAGCGACGCTCATCTGTTGATTGGACGCGACGGCTGGGGCGATCACGATCTTCACTATAGGACCTCAATTTGCGCTCCCACAAGGAGCCGCGCGGCAGCTGGGATGGCAGGCCAGCCAACAGCTCCTGCCTCATAACCTTGCGTGCCTCGTGACGCAGGTCGCGTTGCATCTTTCGATTCCTGTCCTGACCGTCTTTTTTGCCCTTAGACCTTTGCTGCCTATTATCCTGGCAACCGTTGGCTGTCGCCTCGAGCATATAGTTAGCCAGTTTCCTCTTTGGCTGCTCCTCCAAATACTGAGGCGACTCTTTGCCATCGTCGGACTTGAAAAAAAATCGAAGAGCTTCACATTTTGAGCACCAATCTGATATGCCCTCTATGTAGGCTTCCTCGGCTTGACGTCGCCGGCTGCGAAACTCAAAATCCGGATTACTGCCCAGCTGCGACTTCTTCAAGCCGCACATAGTACACGTATACATTTTTGAAGAGGTTAAGTGGTAAAAACAGCTGGCCAAAATAAAAGTAAGTTTATGCAAAATTAAATTACAAAAAATATAAACTAATTTTAAAAAGACGGAGAACCCCACCTAACTACTATTACAATCGATCCAAATGAGAACTAAAGCGTAGAGCTTTAGATTTAAATGCATGTGATTTAAAATCAACTGGGAACAGTGTTCCACAAGGTGGTCAGAGAATGTGCAAGGCACAAAAGAAGACTATTATTCGCGATTTAAACGACTCGAAGTGAGTTAATATCATAGGCTCATATTGAAGCTATTCTAGGAACATATTGAGCTGAGCGAATATGCAAATTGGGTTAATAACTAACCAGGTTAGTCCACAAGCCATTTGCCATTTGTTTGCAAGGGAATTTTATAGGCGAGTCTTTCTGTTTGATATTTTCTTTCAATTTTACAGTCAATTATGGTTTTTCACATGTTGAATTGTTGCTTGTGTTAATGTTTATCCAACAAATATAAACATATGCAGATTAGCCTCTCTTTATGAGCCCATTCACCTGCGTGGCCCACGAACCAATTGCACACTCGAAAGTCACTTGTGGCCCACGTGCTGACCGTGAAATTCACAGCTGCGCCAAGGCGAAGACAGTGCCAAACCAATAATAAGAAATAGTTAGTGAAAGAGAGAGATACCTCAAGGCAATATTTTAACCAGGCATGGCCCAATGCTCCAGTTGTCATGCCGCCGGCCCGAAGAGCTCGAGAGCCATTGAAATTGTCAAACGCCGCCCGTGAAAAGGCTGCGCCAGCCAAAAATCGGCTTAAGCCGCGTCCAATTGAATTTCGGATCGGTTCACTTGTTGCTCTGATCAGTTTTTTGCATTTTTTTTTTCTATTATTGACTTTGACCAGTGATTCAGCAACGTTTGAATGTTAGTTGATAAGATGCGCAAAAGTAAGATAAATAGCGGAACAAGGCATCAGGCCAAGCCAAATATTGAAGCACTCACACCGTCGAAGGTCTAGCCAGAGTTCGTATAAATACTCCGAGTGCCATCTAGTCAGCTATCAAACGCTTCGCAGCCAAACAACGGACAACATGGTGAGTAAACGGGCCGACAGAAGTGCTCCAAAAGGTGCCCGCCAGTTAATGGACTTATTCACGCAGAAAATCAGCTTCGTCGCACTTGCCGCTTGCGCTTGCTTGGCTTTGGCCTCAGCGGATGTCTCGCACCTGTCCAGCAGCTATTTGCCGCCACCCAAGCCGGAGCAAGTGGAGCATATGACTATCGAGCAACACGAGCTGCGCGAACTGCCCGAGCAGGTGGACTATATGCGCGAGAATGAGCAGGGCGCCATGGAGATTACGCCCAGCAGCCAGCTGACGCCACCAGCTATGCCACAGCAAGAGCAAATGCTCCCAACGCGCTACCTTCCGCCGTCTCAGCCCGCCATGCCCACCATGCCTGCAACGCGTTATTTGCCCCCAGCTCAGCCCGAGTCCGAGCCAATGATGCAGCCCGAAATGATGCCAGAGCCAGCCATGGAGCACATAGCCCCAGCTCAGCCTCAGCCCCAGGCTGCACCCGCCATGCGTTACCTGCCGCCCGCACAGCAGGCCGACCAGCCACAGTACATCTATCAGCAATATCAGGAACAGGATCAGCAGATGCCCTACATACTGGACGTGCAACAGCCGATGGCCCCATCCGATGCCGAGACTCTGGCCTTCGAGCCGCAGCCAGCTCACGAGCTGCGCCAGGATGGCTATCATTACAAGCAGGCCGCCCAGGAGCAGCGTCTGAGGCATTAAATACTCGAATCCCCAGCTGACTTACGGTTTGACTTCGTTCCAATCCCAGTCATCAGATAGTTGTTAAATGTTTATTTAGTACTAAACGTTTGTTTTGTGATTGTTCAGTTTATTGTAAAACAATTTTATAGATTTTACTTGACATAGTATCTCACTTCTCTATTGATCTCCGTCGCCGAGAAAGCGCCGTTCCTCCTCTGCTCCAAGGGGAGCCTCGTCACGCAACATCGCCACCCGGTGGATGCTAAATTTAACATTCTCGCTGGTCACATTCAGGGTGACCACAATGCAGTAATGCAGCACATGTAAGTGGCGTGTGCGAAGCAGGTACGAACCGCCCTTCTGCTTGGTAAACACCGGATGTCCCTTCTCCTGGCAATCGTACATGAAGTAACCTCCTTTCTCGCCCAAACAAAATCCAATAGCCAATGCACGCTTATGCACCTTCAGAATGCCGAATTGATGGTGGCTGAAGAAGAAGTTTAGCGCCTCGCAGAGATTCATATGGCTACGTGTGGGATAACGATAGAGCTCTCCGCAGCAGACTTGGTCGGTGTAGATCACAAACTTGATGGATTCCAGGGCGCAGTCAATGCTCATGTTTCGTAAAGCGTTACATTTGTTCCTTGCCTTTGAGATGCTCTGTTCGAAATATTTATTGCCACTCGTGACAATCTTGTTCAGCAGTTGGCCGCTCCACTCCGCCAGGTTGAAAACGCTGGCCGCACAACATGCGACCACGTAGATGGCGAGATATTGACGTCCACGCGATCTCTTCTGGAAGACGTGATCCGCAGGGTGAAGATTGCCCCACAGTGACCACAGGCAATCCTCAATCTCCACGTCGTATTTGTTGAGTTTGCTCAGCGGCTTGTTCCGATAATTTCCGGCCGTGTTCCGTCCGTACCTGCGGCTCCACACGGGCAGGCTGTTCTGCTGGTTCAGCCAGCATATTGATTCATTTTTCTTGAAAGCCATTGGAAGTGACACACCCGATGCGAGCTATGGAATACAAGCAATATGAGGTTGGTCCAAACTTTCGGAAGACTTACCTGTAATAGAACAGCCTCAGAGTAGATTTACAGATTTTCTGAAGATTTTGAAAGTCCCATCATAAAATCTATTTGGAAAAATATATGAAATGTTTTGATTTGAAAAAAGCAAAGTAGTTTAATCAAAAAAAAAAAAAAAACATTCAATCAATAATGCTAGACTAAGAAGTACCAGGATATCAGAGACTCAGCTTAATGAAGAGGTTCATGATCATATATTTTTGGCAGAGTAAGTTGTATATATATTGACAGAAGTGGGAGAGTTTTAAACAATAATTAATTAATAATTAATTCGCTAAAAATTACTTCTTTAAGTCCTCTAGTCCATCGGTTTGAGCTTCTCTATAGCCAAACAGCCAGGTCTAAGCAGATCAATTCAGACCAAGACTCCCGATCAAGAATCTATTTGTTAAAATTCCAAATGCCTCCTCCCAGTAACATACACCCGTGTGGCTGGCGGGCACAGAATACCTCCACAGCATGTCATCGCTTGTCGTAAGAGGCGACTAATAGAGACACATGGGACTATCAGTCTCACGCTTTTGACCAAAACTGCCATTACCCACGTGAATAACCATGTCTAAGGCACTATTAGTGCGATTTTCAACAAGTTTTTAGAATAATTCAACTGGCCATGTTTTCGGGTTGATTAAGTTTATTAGCAGAACGTTTTCTAAAATTGCGTATCAAATAGTTACTAAATCACAAGACCAAATACACCGGAAGACCGATTTTGTTACTCCACTCTACTGATCATGCTTGCTTGGAGAGCCCTCCTCTTCCTCGCTCTCAACGGTGGCACCTTCGCGCAACATCTCTACCTTGTGGATGCTAAAGCCAACGTTATGCTTGGCCACATTCAGGGTGACGACGATGCAGTAGAGCAACACTTGCAGATGTCGTGTGCGGAGTAGGTACGAGGCGCCCTGCTGTTTGGGAAAAAGCGGCTGATCCTTCTCCTGGCAATCGTACATGAAGTAACCGCCAGCGTGTCCTGAACAGAAGCCGATAGCCAATGCACGTTTGCGAACCATCAGAATGCCGAATCGGTAGTGGCTGAAGAAGTAGATGAGCGCCTCGGAGAGATTCATGCGATTGAAAGTGGGCACCCGATAGAGCTTGCCGTAGCAGACGTGCTCGATATGCACTACAAAGTTGATTGTTTCCAGGGCGCAGTCGATGTTGAGGTTCTCCAAGGAGAATTCGTAGTCCTTTCGATGAATTTGAGCGATGCTCTCTTCAAAATATTTGCTGCCACTCACGACGATTGTGTCCAGCAATTGGCGAGATATTGACGTCGACGCAACCTCCTCTGAAACACGGGGGCTTCAGGGTGAAGATTGCCCCACAAGGACCACAGGCGATCCTCTATCTCCACGTCGTATTTGTGGAGCCTGCTCAGCGGCAGATTGCGATACTTTCCAGCTGTGTTGCGTCGGTTCATGCGGCTCCACACGGGCAGACAGCTTTCCAGTTCTATCCAGCGTATTGACTCATTTCGCGCCATGGATCCGATCTACCCGACAGCAACTGTAGAAGGCTCGCATTAAATGCTGCCTTCTTACTTGATCGAAACTCGTATACTTACCAGGTGAAAAGCAGCTTTAAAAAGATTTTGAGATAAATTTGAGTGTACCAAACCAAGTTCAGGAAATATGAAAAAGGGTGTGCCTGGAATCGATAACATTTGCCGACTAGGAGATATCTTGAGCTCAGCTCCACAGCACAGGTTCGTTTGAACTATTGGTTGGCTGATTTCCAAATTGTATTATAAAGCTTCATGAATTCTTTAAAAAAATCTATACACCGAACTTTGAATCGTATTCTCTAAAATCGACGTTTAGTACAGACACAGGCAAACAGACGGGCATGGGCTGTAATACATCCTGTCGTCCTACGGAATACTTGACGGTATAATCGGTATAGCCGTGTGGGTGGAAGTCCCCAGAATACCTCCTAAATGTTAGTCCGTCGCAACTTAATAAGGCAGGCCTCCTTATGGGACTATCATAATATTTCGGGTTTCACTGATGGTTTTAGCCTCCACCAATGAGATTTGTATAGTACTTAACCGGAGCATTCCATGTTTAACAAAGATATGTACGAGATGCTACAATCATAATATACGTTTACCTAAGAGATTCTAGGATGCGTTTCGGACTTATTGGCCATGTTTTGTAGTTATTCTGTTTATTACTAAGCCGTTGCATAAAAATCCATATCAAATATTTACTAAAACACAGCACCTCATGTACACAAGAGAACCGCTGTCGCTCCTATTCGCCCTCACCGCCCTCCTCCTCCTCGTTCTCAACGGTGGCACCCTCACGCAACATCTCCACCTTGTGAATGCTAAAGTCAATGTTGTAGAAGGGCACATTCAGGGTGACCACAATGCAGTAGAGCAGCACTTGCAGATGTCGTGTGCGGAGTAGGTACGAGGCGCCCTGCTGTTTGGGGAAGAGCGGCTGATCCTTCTCCTGGCAATCATACATGAAGTAACCCCCGTCGTGGCCCGGACAGAATCCAATGGCCAATGCACGCTTGCGAACCATCACAATGCCGAATTGGTAATGGCTAAAGAAGTAGATGAGCGCCTCGGAGAGATTCATGCGGTTGAAGGTGGGCACGCGATAGAGCTTGCCGTAGCACACGTGCTCGATATGCACTACAAAGTTAATTGTTTCTAAGGCGCAATCGATGTTGAGGTTCTCCAAGGAGAACTCATAGTCCTCTTGCGTTATTTGAGCTATGCTCTCCTGGAAGTATTTGCTGCCACTGACGACGACTGTGTCCAGCAGTTGGGCGCTCCAATCCATGAGGTTGTATACACTGGCCGCACAACAGGCGACTACATAGATGGCGAGATATTGACGTCCACGCAATTGGTCCTCGAAGACAGGCGCCTCAGGATGCAGATTACCCCACAAGGACCACAGGCGACCTTCAATCTCCACGTCGTACTTCTTTAGCTTGCTCAGCGGCAGGTTGCGATACTTTCCAGCTGTGTTGCGTCGATTCATGCGGCTCCACACGGGCAGACAGTTCTCCAGCTCCAGCCAGCCCAGGGACTCGTTGGTGGCACAAATCTCATACTCTGGACGTCCGTACTGGCGATTGGAGCAAGTCATGGGTATTGATAGATCAGTCAGCAACTGTAGGATACGTGCGTTGGGCGCTGCCTTCTTGTAGGATAGCACATCAACCACATAGAACATATACTGATTCTGCTCCTTCCAGTCCGGCTGGGAACAGCGCTTATCTATGTACTTGAGCATGCTATCCACATCGGCAAATAGCACCCAGGAGGCAGTGTTGCGCTCTGGATAGCGTTTGGGTCCCTTTGGGCACTTCTTTTTCTTTTTCTTGCCATCGTCGCCTTCTTCGCCATCGGCATTGTCCGCCTCCTCCTCTTCTTCCTCGCCTGGCTTGTCCATGCTCGCATATGGATCGAACAGATGATAGAACTCATCGTGGTACAGGGCGAAGCAACCATTCGGCGTGAAGATCATCAAATACTTGCGCGTATTGAGCACCTTCTGCAACTTCTTCTTGATCGTGGTCAGCGCCGCTTCCGCGGTAACTGTAGGCGGCTTCGGTGCCGGCGTCCACATGCCCATCGGCTCCAAGATGCGTATCCAGATGTCGAACTCGTACTCATCGATCGTCACATGGCGCACCACACGCTCGAAGACGGACTCCAGATCGCAGACACGAGTCGCAATGGACTTGGCGTGGGTGATGACCCGATCAATGCGATACGAGTTCCAGCGATTGAGCGGGCGCAGCGAGACGCTGAGTATGGCCAGGGCACTGGCAAAGTAGCAGGGTTTGATCTCCTTGAAGCTGCCATCTTCACGGCCTTCCATGTTCATGCTGCCTTGGATCTTAAAGTTGCAGTCCTTCTCGCGCATGCGATAGCCGTATAAAATGGGGCGTGGCTTGTAGGCTTTGTGTACCTCCTTGGGCAGACGCTTGCCGGGCTTGTGCTTCAGTTCGACCTCCTCTTCGCCCTCGGCCTCCTCCTCCATATCCATAAAGTCCATCTCCTCCTCGCCCATGCCCTCGTCAATGCCCAGGTCCTTGTACTCCGCTGTGTAAGAAGTGAGAGTTGTGTTTTGTGTTGCGTTAGAATTCTGACAAAAGAAGCAAAAGCCACTTACGTTTTCTGCCATGTTTACGATCCTCGTGCTCCCGCTTGGCCGCCAGATAGTCCTGTATGCGCTTGTTCTCCTTCTTGAGCTCCTCGTCAATGAAGCGCATCTTCTCCAGACGCTGCTCGCGCAACTTCTTTTTGCGCAAACTCTCTGCATTGAACTCTGCATCGTCGTCCGATTTGGGCCAGCGACGGAAGCGACCCTTAATGTTATTATCCACAATCTTTATGGCGGCCACAATATAATTCATGACCGTACAGCCCTGAGGGTTGCAGCCAAACTCAATGCGACGTATCAGCGAGTCCAGCTCAATGAAGCGCATCATGCAGGCCGGTCCTGGGCCGCCCTTGCGATACCCAATCGCATTGCAGGGGAAGCCAATGAACATGTACAGCAAATTGTAGCGCTTGAAGATGACGCACGAGAAATGCTGACAGACAACCAGGACGCGATTGTTGTCGATGAGCAGCTCGAGCAGATCCTGGCGCAGTGATGATGATACCGAGGACTTGTAGACTTCGGAGACCACCAGCGAGAAGTTGCTCTCGCCAACGGCTATGTCTGGCAGCTTCTTGTTCAGCAAGCAGGACAGAATTAGCTCGTAGTTTTGATAGTCATCGCCGAATTTGTTGACCGAATAGATGCAGAACTCAACAAGATCTGCATTCCAGGTGGATACTCTGTACTTGGCAGAGACTGCCGTGGCCACAAGGGCTGCCAGCACGCCGCCCAGTTTGGTCATTTCTGGATCCAATTGCGGCAGCTTTGTGGTGCCCATAATGATGTAGGCGCCATCGTGCAGTGTCTGGTAATTGGATTTGAGCTCCAGCTCCTCCTCGATGGTTAACACACGCTTCAGATCTGGCTTTTCCTCCTCCTCGCCCAGCTCGTAGCCGCGCTTTATCTTCAGACGCAGCGCGCGCAGATTTTCCTTGTCGGTGGCCAGGAGCACCTTTTGCGCCTGTCTGTACAGATGTGGGCGATCCAATTTCGGCTCAGGCAGATCCTTAATAATGCCATTGATAATGCCGAGAATGAGCTCCTCTATGAATTCCTTCTCCTCTTTCGCAGGAATGCGCTCCTCCTCGGGTATGCTCTCAATACTCTTCTTCTGGGCCAGCTCCGCCTCCGCCGGTTCGTCTGTAAATGTGGGCAGCCCCATTTGCAGCGCGGGAAACTTGTTCGACTGCTGCGTCATCACCTGTAACGGGCGAATGCAGCCCGTGCGAATACCGTGAATAAAGAATTTGCCACCGCGACGCATCTTCAACGCATTCTGGTACAGAATCCGCACAAAGGAATCGAACGTGGTATGCATTTGCAATACGGCCAGACCCTTGATCCGATAATCATCAGGATCCACCACCATGCCGACGCGATTGCGTCGAAACGGATCGAAAACATAGAAGAACTCGCGATCGCGCCAAATGGCCATCACGGAATTATCAATCTGTAGCAAGGCTGCCGGCCACTCGGGCTTTTCGAAAAGGGCCTGCAGCGCATGGGTTAGCTGGGATTCCAGGTACGATTTGCAGTCGGTCACATGACCGGTTATCAGGAAGGGATACTTGCGCACCGTTGCCTTGAAAGCGCCCATCAGAAACATCTCCGGCAAATCGACGACATTCAATTCGGGTTTCTTGTTCTTCCAGCGTTTACCATCGAGTCGAAACTTTTTGCGCAGCGTCTTGTAGTAGGCCACGCCATACCGAATAATATCATCAATGGTCATGGGTCGCCACAGCTTGGCCAGCTCGAATTCTGAGTAGATCAGCGCAATGAGCGACACGACCAGCGAGGCGTTCTTTTCCGTGCCAGAAATGGGCTGTTGTATGCCGCTGTTGCCGCCAGTTTTTACTGCGAAATGCTCATTAACAACGGCCCAGAGCTTGTGGTAGTGATATTCCTTGTCCTTCTTAATGGGCGCCTCCTTGAGCTTGCCATACTGTGTCAGTGTTATTTCATAGATGTTGAACTCGTCGTTGTCGGTCAGGTCACTGAACTTGGTTATCAAATGCACCAAGTGCTCCATAAAGCGTGTGGCCATCAAGGAGCACATGCCATCCTTGAAGTCCCGCTGGCACAGCTCGTTGCGTCCATTGGGATCGAAGATAAAGAAGGAATTGATGCAGCGTTTCCAGATCAATAGAAACATATCACGTGAGGTAAAGATGCAGGCATTGTATTTGGAAAAGAACAACGACAGAGCCTTATAAATATTAGGCTCGTTCTTGAACTGACCCGTAAAGTGTATCTTGATCTTAACAGCCGCCTGACGTTCCATCACCTGCGGCAATATGTCAAAGTCATTATCCTCCGACTTGTAGTTGAGATTAATGCTCTTCTTTGTTAGCTTTACGGCACGTTTCAATATGCCGTCCATGGTGCCGGCAGTCCAGAAATCCGGATTCACCTGATATGTCTCCACAAAGGCAATTATAATGGCAGCTATTTCGCTGGGTCGATAATAGTATCTGCAATAACAATATGCATTAGTCCAGATTACTGATTTTCCAAGCCCTACAGCTCACCTCTGGCGAAATGGTTCCATATTTGGTTCAGGATAAATGTTACGATTACCGAACACAATTTCGGCCGTAAAGGTTTTCTCCAGCTGTGTGGGTATATTATAGACGGTGAGTCCGATGTCGTGACCTGTTTTTGGATGGGCCTGAACATTATTAGCAGATTTGCTCGGGCAAATGTCGAGAAGTCAATGAAAACAAACCATATTTCGGCAATGCAGCAGTTATAAAATCCTGATCCATTTCAATTTCTCGCCTTTGCAGGCCCATATTCCAGGTCCACAAATCTTGTGGATTGCAACCTTCAATAATATCATAGGATCTCAGATTTTCGCCCTCCAATCCCTCTTGTATGACACGTGGATCATACGTTGGGAAAGGCAACTCTTCCAGAGGGCCGACTTGTGTTTCGTTTAAATAAATGCGACTCTTAGGACGTTTCAATTCAAGCTGAGTGCCAGAAATAAATCATTAAAATATATAGACGAAAAATTACGATTCTTTAAATATCAAGTCTTTCTGTTTTTATTTGAGTGTTTTATCATTCAAATACGTTAGTTTAGTTTTCTATATTTAATAACCAAGTTGTTCGTGGTATTACGCATACGCCACGTGGGCTGTGCCTCGCCTGCACTTTGTCCCCCGTTGCTGCATAAAAAAGAATTTCGCATAAAAGAGAACTTCGCATAAAAACTAAAGCGAAGCCATACCAAATGAACTTGGAGGCAGCTTTAGGCACAGCCCTACAAATCAGTCCATATGGTTAGTTATCGCAAATGGGTTGTGCTTTTATATGTCCGAGAGTCTTTCCTGCGCTGGTTTATAAGCTTTTTACTTTTGTCTGGCCCAAACGCACACATTTATATGCGAGTTAATGCGACATTTCAAGTTGCAAAGCTGAAAATAGCACGCATACGCCACGGATGCCGGCATAAACGCGCCTATAAATACTATGCATACATACCATATATGTATGTATACGTATATATGTATATGTATATGTATGTGTAGCGTACGTAAATAGAGCTAAATATGGAGGCCAAGCCCAGAGCCAATCCATGCCGCACTCAACGCTATTGCTGCTGCTGACTATGAAGTTAGTAAGCGGCATAAAGTAAGCACGAAATGCCAACTAGACTGGCTAACTATACAGTCGACTGTCTGTTGGTGTGCTGCTCTATGAATGTGCTGTGTGTGTGTGCTAGTGTATGCGTGTGTGTGTGTGTGAGACTGCCTCTATGGCTGGCTGGCTACGCTGACGGCCACAAAACAGCGCATAGAGCAGTAAACAGTGAACAGCGCTTAGTGCCACATCACGAATCTTATCGCAAGCGCACGAATGCCAGAAACAGCAGCAACAGCAGCAGCAACAGCAACAACAGCAACAACAACAACACGAACACCACAACTAAAAGCCAAAACCCGACAAACTCGAGCCGAGCGTAGGTCGGGCTGGCTGCAGAACAAACAAGTCATCTAACAAAAATACGAAAGAGTATTCAACAGAAAGAAGAAAAAAAAACAGCAGCAGCAGCAGCTGCAGCAACTAGCACTGGAATTGCCAGCTATATAGCCAAGCGAGCGAGCACTTATAGCATACGACGACGTCAATAAACACGAGTGCGACGTTGTGCGCTACTAATACCAACAACAACCCTCTCAACTTTAAATGCGGCTGACGCGAGTGGCTGGCAAAATGTCAAACCAGGTACGTGTGGGCATGACGCAAGGGCCAGCAGAGCAGAGAACGCAGACAGCAGGCAGGCAGAGAAGGCAGGCAGGAGACGGCGGCAGCACTGCAGGTGTTGCTATTTGCATTTTATTTACTAATCGTGAGCGCGCCTGCGGCTGACTGCACTTTAGAATCCCTCTTAAATAAATCAATTAAAATGCATAAAATCAATAAAAACGCAAGCAGAACTCTAGGCACAACACAGTTATAGAATAAGAGTCATAACACGTGGCATGCAAATGCCAAAAAGAGCCACACATACACATACACATGAATGCATCTGTGGGCCAGCCAACAAATGCATGTGTGCGAGAGAGAAAGGGAGTGGTGTGTGAGTGAGTGTTTCTATATTTGCCAGCTGTAGCCTGTTTTCAAGTTTAGCAAGGAGCCAGAGGCGGCCACGTCAGCATAGTCGCAATTGAATACCATAAACATACAAATGTATGTGTGTGGGTTTGCGTTTGCTGCTTCCGAATGTGTGTGTGTGTGTGTGTGTGTGTGAAGTATATGTATGCATATGCCATTAAGATGCTGAAGTTGCATAAAAGCCAAACCAAACACAAAAGAAGCCCATAGCATGCAATAAAGACTTGAGGCCAGGTGTGTGCCGTTGCCGCTGCCAGTTTTTTTCTTCATTTTTGTGAGCTACCAACAACAGACTTGGTAGCGAGCGGCCATAACAACACACACACACACACGCACACACATGTACACAAGAGACAGACGCGCAAGCAAAGAAACGTTGCGACGTCACAGCAAAGCGCAATAAGAAAGAGCAATGGCAGCTGCAGTGGCGTAGGCTATTAAGAGCAAAAGGGACGCAGGAGATGCCAGGGCTATCCCTAATAGCAATAGGAAAAATATTATAAAAACTTATTCACTCATTTTGTCACATTTTTGTAGAGCTAATCTTCAGCAAGGATCTTTACAGATAAATATTCTTAATACTCGTTGTTTGTTCACAAATCTAACTGCACTCACAGCCTGAGGAGAGGCATTGATAACGGGCGCATTTAATATACGCCCCCCATAAAACATTAAAAAATGTTTTATCAATATCAATATAATAATTGTGTGCTCTAACTGTAACCGCATAGCGTACGAGACTGAAGAGCTCACACATACATACAAGCATTGGATCACATGTCCGCATTTACTGTTTGGCTGTGCGTTATCTGCAAAAGTTAATAAGTTTAATGCCGCTTGGAAATAACAACTTGTAAAATTTTAAAATCAACTAACAATCTCCCTTAAACCACAATTATATGCATTAAGACTACATATCTAATTGGACAACGTATTAAATATTCATTATTAAATGACTGCCTACGCCCCTGACAATTGAAACATAACAAACAAAGCGCTGAAAAGGAAATCAAGAACGAAACATTTAACTAACAATAAGAGCACAACTGAAACGAAAATTAAGCGGCAGCTACGTCGACAGCGGCGCCAGCGTCAACACCGCTTGGCTTTTGCATAGAAACGAATGCAATGCGCAGCAGCAGCGTTAGTGTGTGTGTGTGTGTGTGTGCATATGCATATGTATGTACATACATACATGTATGTATGTAGCTGCCGCGTGGTCTTCTTTTCAACGTCCGCGCGCAGAACTAGTTAATTAACTAGCATGTTCAAAAGAATACTTTTCAATAGTCCTAGTCCTATCGTTCAATGCATCATTAAAAAAAAGTTATAAAACCGCTATCCTTTTCTAACATATGCAAGCATCAATTTGCGCTGCATTAACTCACTCTGGTTGCTACAAACAACAATAACGCGCTCATAAATACAAATACAAACACAAGCGCGCACACACACACATACAGTCAAGTGACAGGCGTCTGCCTGTGCATAGCGAACCGTTTTTATTTCATATGGAAGCAAACGGCCACAGCAACGGGCAGCAATAACAACAACAGCAGCAACGAACATACGGCAAACACCTGAAACCGAAAAACAGTGCACAAGTGTTACTCAGCGGCCAAGCACGCGTGTAAAAATGTCGCCCCGGCAGTAGCAGCAGCAGCAGCAGCAACAACAACAAAAGCAGCCGTAGAAGCGGCGCACAAAACCAATTGAAACAGAAAGCGAGCATACACAATAAACAAAGCAGAGAAAAGTTAAACAAAAAAACAAAGTAATAGCAAACATTTAGGCTAAAATTGCAATGAAAACTAAATGAAAATGGCATTAACAAAACAATATTTATCATTGCAAACACTCTTTCTATTTACGCAGCATTAAAAGGAGTCGCAATACGAAGAGCACACAAAACGTGCACGTGAAGAGAGCGCCAATACACGCTCTCTCCGAGAGAAAACAAAAACAAGCGCGCAATTGACTTTTTAGCAGCTTGAGCTTTCATTTTGAGGACGCTGCGCAGCTGTGGTTACCGAAGAGCAGACAAAGAGGAAACGCGAATAATAGCAACTGCATATGGCGAGCAGTTCAGCAGCCATGGACACAGCGACGGCAACAACTACAACAAAAAGAGGCAACAACAAGAGCAAAGGGGTAAGTGAGAATGTCTCGTGCTGTATTAACTTGGCCTTTAAGCTGTGCGAGGGTTGGTTTGTTGTGCGTTTTTGCTTATGGCACCATACACGCGCATTCGTAAGACAAACAATTGTAGGCAGAGGCGTAATCAGCAATTTTTTAAGAAGGGAGTAACTCGCATAAGCACAAACTTCATTGGAACTTACTGGAAGGCAATTATAAAATATTGCAAATAATTGAAAACGGCCATAAATTGGGCAAGAAGTATATCAGATTGAGGAGTATTTAAAGGAGCAGCACAAGAAATCCCCCTTGAGACTGTGGCTACGCCACTGAACTTTTAACTTTTGTTTTCATAATTTTCTTGGCTTTTGACAAGGCGTTACTTTTTATAGTGGAACTAAACTCCACCCTTTCAAGGTGAATACTCTAATGCATACCAATCTTTTCTGCTAGGGCAAGGAAAAATCGCGTCGCAATGAGCGCAACATTTTGACTTTCTATGAGAAAATTGCGGTTATACGTTATTACGATGAGACGAACATTTCGCGCAACAGCCTGGCCAAGATGTTCCATTGCTGTGCAACCCAAATACGTCGCATTCTGGAGAAGAAACGTGAGCTGCTGCAGCAGCTGGCGACACTCAGCGAGGCGGATGCCTCCATCATTATTGAGGAGATGACGCGCAAGCGCCGCAAGTTCGAGATGAGCGCCATCAGCTTTCTGCTGCACGAATGGGTGGAGCGCTGCCGCCAGCTGCGCCTCGGCGTCAGCATAACGAACCACACGCTGAAGGAGACGGCCCTCAAGATGGCTGCGGTGCTCAAATTGCCAGCCTTTAGACCATCCTATCGCTGGCTAAATCGTTTTCGCAGCAAGTACAAGTACGAGGAGGATGAACTGGGCTACACGGGCCCTTGTCCGGTGGCGAGTGTGCTGCCCCTGGAGCAGATTATAGTGGAGTTCAAGCAAGCGCTGCCCAATTTCATGCAAAAGGAGCTCGCCGACATTGACTTGGATGGCAAGATGGGCGTAATAACTCCTGAATTGGTCAACTTGTCAAGCGATAACAGCGAAATCTCCGATGCGGAGGACCTAGACGATGATGGTATCGAAATGGTGACCTGTGAGCCCAGTGTGCTGCCTTCGCCGGCCAGCACATCGGATGGCGAGGACGAGCCGCCAATGCCACAACTGCCGCAACAGCTGGACGGAGATGCCTCGATTAGTCTGGGTGCCTGCACGCTGCTGGGCAGCGTCTTTCCCCACTTGGCCGTCATACACCAATTCGCACTGATGAACTCCGATGTGCAGGCATTGGAGCTGATCTCACAGCTGGGCGTGCACATGCAGCAGCAAGCAACAACTGGCGCCTATCACGTCCTATCGCTGCCCATAAATGGCGAAACGCCGGCTTTGCCAGCCCCGGAGCTGCCGCCGGGCAGCATTTATGCGGACATAGATGACATCGAGTTGATTGAATAGAATTTACCTTAACTAATGCTTAGCCGTAGCTCGTAAAATAAAGTCAGTTAGCACTTACCATGCGCTTGTCAGGTATGATTATCATGTCGGAACTGCATTCTGGTGTGGCCAGCTGTGGCTTGACTTCGCTCTCTTCTTCGCCTTCTCCGTCGTCCTCCTCCTCTTCCTCCTCGTTCATGTTCATGGGACTGTTGAGTGCGACCAGATCTTTGGGACAAATCTTATCCAGTCTTGCGTCGTGCTCCACCAGTCCAGGGTCGGCTTTGGCCATCAGGACACGTTCACGCAATTCGGCGTTGGACTTTAATTCGCCTGGTGTTCGTTGCGGTATTATACACATGGTGAACTCATCGTAGAGTTCACAGGTTTTCTTGTATGGGCGAGCGAACCTGGATTCTTCGGCCTTCTGGTGCAAACGGCGCAGCTCATCCTCAATGGTTAGCACATGGGAAATAGTTGAGTTTGGCGGCTTTTTTAGGCAGACACGTTCACGCGGCGGACAATTCTCGACCTTCCATTCTGTTGTGACATTATCACCCATATATGTGCGTACGGCGTACGGATTCACCGAAGGACTTTCGTCCGCATTAACCTCGACAAATTTTTTAAGCATTTTTGCTAATTACGTAACTATTAATTTAGCAAAAAAGAAAATTTAAACTATGAACTATAAATTTGGTATCCCGGTACGTTATATATTTTATCCAAAAAGCACACGCTATACTGAAATTTATTAGTAAACTGAGAGAAGCTAGTTTAAACAATAAGCCTACTACAAATTTGCCGCGATGCAAAACGTAAGCGTTGCCAGACAATCAAAAATATTAGATGTGCTGCACCGATTGCATATCGATATGGTGAATATATCGAACTGCCGCCACAGCTGATCGAACTTTTTGCATGTAAATTGTTCCTTATATATTTTATAAGTGTTGCGTTTAGGTTGTAAAAATTAACTTAACATCATACTTATAATACCAATTATGGTGTATTTCAAGCTATTCAGCGAATTCTTTAACAAAACTAATATTCGATAATGTAATTAACAGCTGTTCGCTCTTATGGCTCTGTTGTCATTCCTGTGCCTGTTTAGCAGCAGTTTAAACTGGACATTCATTGTCCGGTTCTCCATCAAACTTGTCGCCGGCCAAACAACTTTTGGTCATCAAACCGTTATTTACAACATTTTGCATAAAACTGTCACAGCAAAACCCGTTGATATTCTTTGGAAACTTGGTAAACGAATAACGGCAGTTTTTCCACAATAGTGCTTGCTGTTAATAACAGTGAAGCAAGATGTTAAGCTTTCGGATGCAAAACATATAAAGTAGAAGAGGAAGACAGGCGAACAATAGAAGACAATTAAAGAAATAAATAAAACACAGTGGAATTGTGCATGGAAGTTTCTATTTGCCATAGATGTAACGAGAAAAGCTCCCACACGTTGTTCTCGCATTTCACGACAGTCGCAAAACAGTCTTACATGAGCCAACTATGAAAATTGGCGTTAATTAAACTAAAAAACCTACGGCAAACATTTTAAACGCCAAAATGTGGATACAACCCAAAGAGCTGCTGCTACCGTCGGCATTTTGGTAAGCAGAAACACATAATAAATTCACTAGCTAAGGGAGGGGTGGTACAATTTCTGGATGCTGCGCCGCCCCCACCTTGCACTATTTCAGCAGCTGATTAATTAAAAAGCCCCCCGCCCCACACAGACACAGCTGTGTTGGTGTGTGCGTGTTTTGGTGCTATTGTTGTGCGCACTAAAGGCTGATAACTAATTGAGCAGAGTTCAAGTCGTCATCTCTGCACTGATTCCATAAGCAGCTGTGGAACAATGGCGAAACGCAGGCTTCGAAATTGATTGTTCTATTCGCACAACTGTTTTTGCTGCGTAAAAACCCCCTACAAGCACACAGACACAGAGACACTCATAGCTGCAGACACACACACACACACACACTTATAGCCTCACACACATATGTACTTACTCCAGCGCAGCACACCCACACACATACAAATGCCCCGTTTCTGTTCGTTCCCAAGTCTGATTTTTTGTTCTGCAGGACCGCCGAAATGTACTCCAGGTATTTTGTGCTACAGAAGCGACGCGGACATGGCGAATCGCGCGGATTTGGCTCAATGCTGGTGGGCACCTTTGACAGCGTGATGAACACAAAGCCGGCGCCCTATCGAATACTGCATCAGACGCCGTCCTCGGAAGTGTCTTATGGTAGGTTGGAAAATAATAAAAACGCACCTTTCGCGGCGACTTATCAGCGCCATGTTTATATGCCCCAGTGCGAGTGCATATCAGTGACCAAGTGGGAGGGTGCCCAATCACTGACTCATTCAATCATACATAGGCGAAATGTGCCTTTTATTGGTGTGTGTGCCAGTGGGGCATATTTACTCCAATTGTTGAGAATTTCTGTGTATTGCAAATGCGATAAGCAAGTTAAACAGGAAGGAGAAGTACGAATTGGGTATAAAATTCTTTCAATTGTTCGATCTCTTCTTATTCCGTTCTTTCAGTTGCTCACTCACTCAATAAAATTAGTCGTAGTTAGGTTCTCGAGCGAGGGATGATATAGAGTATATAACTCTCCTTGCTTTTTGAAAGTGCGCTTCTCTATGCGAATTTCATTCTTAGCTTTTTTGAAGGGGAGAGAAAGGGAGTTGGTCGAAGACCAATTTAAGAGAACTTATGGCTAATGACGAAGCACGGCAAGCCGTGTGTCAGCCTACTAGATAACTAATAATAACAAAATGAGAGCATAGAGTTATTTATAATTGACTAAATTAATATTATGCTACTTATCTTGCGTTATGAGTTCTGAAATTTACTCATTTCCTTAAGAACCTTAAAGTCGGATTTTTTTTTATAATGCAGTTATATATATATTATATTAATGCATTCAAATGATGTCATATTTGGGTTAAACAGAAATTGCCATTGGCATAACACAGGATGACATCGTCAAGGATTGGGAATGGCTGCAGACCAATCTCTTCAGTGTACTCAACGAAATGGAAAACGAGGATGAAGTTACAAACTTTACCATATGCAAAATACAATCGCTCTATGCTCAAAATAATCAAGACGAATCTGGCGAATCGCCAGACTTCAAAGTGAAGTCCTCTAACTTTAGACAAATCTTCAAGATGCCCGAAGAGGAACGCCTGGTCAACTCGTACTCGGCCACGTAAGCGTATTACTGAATGCATAGAATTTCTCGAGTCTACTTCTAGACTTCTACTTGCAGCTATATTAAGAATAAAATACCGCGCCAGGGACAGTTGTACATTTCGCTGAACCATGTGTGCTTCTACTCGCTCATGCTTAACCAGGAGATCAAGCTAATCATACGCTTCGCTGAGCTGGAGGACATAAGTCGCAGTGGCAATACAATTTATCTGAAGACTACCAACAATATGACGTACAATTTCACGCTGATGTTCAACATGAATGAGGCGCACGTCCTCATTGAGCAGCTAAACAAAATGGCCATACAAAAGTTAATACATGACCCAGAGAGTCCCGTTGTGGACCATGATCCATCGAATTTTGCGCGTCTCGGCGCTAAAACTTCAAAGAAGTCGGTGCTGCTGCGTGATTTGACGGCTCGTCAAAAATCTGAGGAGTTTCGCGTTTACTTTCGTCTGCCGCAAACAGAAATTATTGATGGCAAGATTAAAGCCGACATATGGACTCCGTACTCGAAGCGATTCAATGCCGGCTACATTTATCTGTCACCCAATTTCTTTTGCTTTCGCAGCGATGTCAAGGATTTGGTTAGCGTTGTAATACCAATGAAAACTATAAAGGTTTGTGTTGCTTATAAAATATTATAGGCTATAGGCGGTATCTGGACCGTTTGTACACATGTTTTATAATGGATACCTCAAATTTTTGCAGAGTGTTGAGAAAAAGGACGATGGTCAGCAACGTTTTGACAATCAAATTGTCATTTTTACAGCGGAGAATGTGCCTTTTATGTTCGCCAAAATTGCGGATCGCGAGGTTCTCATCTCGAAAATTACAGATCTACTGTCGCGAATTCATATGTAAGTGTCCGTCCAGTTGAGCTGACACCTTTACTTTTGAAACTCCATTTGCAGACCGGTTAGTCGCGAACGTGCCAAGTACGATATCTCGTGGAGCAAACAGACCGCATTGCTCAACACATTCAAGACGGAGTTCAGCGCGGACATACAGAAGAAGCAGGAGCTAAAAATGGCACGCTGGGAAGAACATTTTCGCGATTTCGGACGCGGCATTGCTATGTATCGCACCACAGATGTGATCAATTTAATTGTGGAGGGGATACCGGACAAGCTAAGGCAGGAGATTTGGCTAATCTTCTCTGGCGCTATACACGACAAAGAAATGAATCCCGGCCTGTATGAGGATTTGGTGGAGAAAGCCGCTTGCATTAAGGATTCGTATACGCACGAGGAAATCGATAGGGACTTGAAGCGTTCGCTGCCCGAGCATCCGGCATTCCAATGTACCGATGGCACCGGTGCCCTGAGACGAGTACTGCAGGCATATGCGCTGCGTAATCCGCAGGTGGGCTACTGTCAGGCCATGAACATTGTTTCATCGGTATTTCTGCTCTTTTGCGATGAGGAGAACGCCTTCTGGATGCTGGCCAGCCTCTGCGAGAATCTGTTGCCAGACTACTACAAGGACAAGGTTGTGGGTGCCCAGATTGATCAGGGCGTGCTTAATGAGCTGGTGGAGACATATCTGTCGGATTTGCATGAGCATCTAGAACGACTTAACGTTATTAAAATGATCTCCATCTCGTGGTTCCTCGCCATATTCATAAGTGTGATCAGCTATGAGAGTTCCTTGCAAATATTGGACTGCTTCTTCTATGAGGGCGCCAAGATCATTTTCATGGTCTCACTACAGATCATCGAATGGAACCGCGACAAGCTGCTGAACTGTCAGGACGATGGGGAGGCCATGCTGGTACTGCAAACCTATTTAGAGGGTATCTACAATCCCGAATACCAAGTGCCACAGACCACGGACAAGCGCGAACGAGTACGCACCCAAACAGTACAGACTTTGATACACGAGGCGTATACTAAATTCGGCGAGGAGCTGACGCAGCAGCGCATCGAGGAGCTGCGCAATAAGCATCGACGCCTCACAATGCGACAGTTCGACATTGACAACGAGAAGACCATTGTAAAGGCCCATATGCAGAATGTGTACTTTGAGCGGCAGGAACTGCACATGCTGCTCACAATAATACGGGAGGAGAAGCTGACACTCAAGTCTATGCAGCAGCAGCAGCAGAAGGCACAATGCCACATGAGTGAGGCGCCGCAGCTGCTGCCTCATCATCAGTCACCGACACGTGCTGGACTTGGCGATGTTATGCCTGGTGGCGGTAATGGACGCCACGAAGCTTACAGCGTCAACTTTGAGGTATTCCACACACTCTTCACAGAGCTAACGCCCTGGCGAAAGTGCGTTAGCGTTGATGTTGGTGAAAAACTTTTCAGGGTAGGTCACAGATTGTCAAAGCCAATGTGTTCAATTAAATCTAATCTAAATATCTTGCCAGCTGACGGACAAAAAAGGCACCGGACAATTGGACTTTGGTCAGCTAATCAACGCTTTTGGCTTGGTTTGCTCCAGCAAGAGCATGGAGAAACTGAAGCTGCTCTTTGTGTTGCATTTACCGCCGTTGCTTTCTAAGGCAGAAATTGAACGCATGCGACGTCCGCGACCGCGGACCAAAGATGATGCCGAGGAGGCATTCGAAGCAGAGGATTTCTTTGAGTAATTTCTCGTTTTTTTAACATTTCCTTCATCCTGCAACTAATTCCGTTGATTCCCCAGCGAGGATGCCTCTGAGTCGATTGAAGCGCTGCCGTCTCCATCGGATCACAACTTTGATGCCGATGACTATGCGCTGATTAGCGCCACGCAGCATTTGCATAATCTGGCTGGCATTTCGGGCAACACATTCATGGATTTGTCAAGAACAACGCCGAATCTTTCGCTGAATTCGAATGCATCGTCGCTGGCGCAGCGCAACTCGACTTTTTATGTGGATCTGCCCGCTGCACACCAGGGTACTACAACACGCACAGATGCTGGGCAGGATGACGACAACGACATCGGCCTACGCCAGCAGGGACGTTACGAATCGATTGACACATTTTCGGATATTTCAGATCTGGGCGCGGCACGCATAACGCCGCCGCAAACATCGACGACAGCTGCAGCCGCAAGTGCTGCAGAACAAATGCTACTGAACGTTGAGACTATATCGAATTTCTCACAGATCAGCGACCTGGTCGCGGCTACGCGTCTAGAGCGCGCCGATTCGAATGCAACGGATACACGCAGCTTGGGCAGCCTCGGCTATTTGCTGGATGAGGGTGCCTCCGCCACTGGACAGCACCGTCAGGTACCCAACATGCGCAAGGAGAACTTTCAGTTGCTGTGGCGCAGCATCATTGAGATAATGGGCTGTGTACAGGACGAGGATATGAGACGTGCATGTAAGTGGGCGACTATCAATTAGGAAAGTTATCCGATTAAATTTTAACTCAATATTTTGGCAGACGAAAATCTCATTGAAATGGGCAACAGCAATATTAAGAAGGAGCCAAGCTTGGAGAGTTTCACGCAGCTCAATTTAGGCGGCAGTGGCGATGAGGTTAGTGCAAGTTAGTGTATATAATATACTTTATTTTAATTATAATTCTTGCCACCTCACATCAGCAACCGGATAGCAATGGAAATCCCACGACACCCGCGGCAGAGCCCAGCAGCACGACACGTTTATTTGTGGCTCTCGAGGAGGAGTTGCGTCAGGCAAAAGCAGGAACAGCAGCTGCAGCTGGAGCATCAGCAACAGCAACCACATCCAACAGCAGCGGCAGCAGCAATAGCACAAACACATCGGATGCCTGGCATATATCCATTAATCAGTTTATAGCCACTGTACTCACTTGCGAATGCATTGTTAAAGCATTCCAGACGCGCACCCACATCGTGGAGCAGATTGAACAGCTGCAGAAGAAACGACGTAAGTGCTTGTCCACTAACTACAACTACTAAGTCCCCCCTTTGAAATCCAATATCCTGCTAGAACCCAATGTATTAGCCATTAAAAGAAACCCATAGAACTGTGCAATGCGGCTTCAGCTTTTAACCGTGCCCCGTTTTAAAAAAAAATATATATATACATATATATATATATCTATCTATCTATATATATATATTTATATATATATATGTTATTCGTATATTACCCCGATTAGTTAAGCCAACTGTTTGTGAATATAGTTCTATTATTATACCTATTATACAAAAAAAAAGTGAAAGTGTAACTTGTGTTGTGTCCGTGAGACAATTTATTTCAATATATGCACAGATATATATAAATATATGTATAATTAGATATATTTACAAATTCAACTACTGTTCCATGGACACATCCTCGAGCTGCTTCGAGTTACGGCGAACCCCCGCCGCTGCCTCTTGGCGTGCATGCTCTGCGCTGCGCACAAGGCATTCTTCATAATTCCATTTGGGGAAGACACGTTTATAGAGATACATGAATGCAGTATCGTATGAGCGCAGTTGGCCATCGAAGTAGCACTTCATGTGACCGTGCGTACCCAGGGACTCCTTAATATGACCCATGCGACCGCATTTTGTGCGTAGCTTGACGGGCTTGAAGTACTCGACGTCCTCCTTGTAGAAGAACATGTAGCGTATCGTCGCCGATTTTCGGTTAATGCGCATCGGATGACCGCTAAGCACGACGCGCTTCAGCACTATCCGATCAGGATTACAAGAAAGCAGGCGGCCTCGGGCGACCAATGCTAGCGAGGAATCGGGATTCACCTTAAAAGCGAGCACTGCAGCAGGAGGGAATTGTATGGGCGCATAAAAAGTGGCGCACACGGTCTCATACGGACGGAAGAAACGCTCAAACTGTGTGAAACAATAAATCAGTTAATCGAGTGAAAAAGAAATGTATTTAGAAAAGACGCACCTTATGCTTGTCGCCATTGGTATGCTGGCTGTAAATCGGGTTGACGACGAAGCGACGATAGCCACACTGGACAATCAGTTGCTCCTTCGACTTGAGCGGCACCTCAGAGTCGGGAATACGTTGCAGGACAACGTTCATAACGCACATCTGGTGCTCGTGCGGCAGCATGCCATAAACGATTACATTGTCTGTGAGCTGACCGGATCTGAAAGCGTCCCAGCGGCTAGCGGGCACATTGATGACATGCAGCGTAATGTACAAGCCGGGCTGGAATTTAAATTCAAAATAAGTTAAAGGTATTATCATATAATTGTTGTTCAACAACTCACCAATATGCCCTCAAACTCCTTTGCCTCCGCTAAAATGCGTCGCTTGGTGCGATCGAAATTCTTAAACTGATAGATGCGCGCATAATCGCTGGGCAGATTCTCTTTGGCATCCCAGGGCGATGTGCGGAACGATTCCAGGCCGCGGTACTTCTGGAAACGTTCATGAGCAGGAACATCGAGGGGCGTATCGATTTCATCGGGCCACAGTTGGTCGGTGCGCGCCTGTTGCAGTTTCTGTAGTGTTTCCCGCTCTTCCTGGAAGTCCATTTGCTGATCGTACTTTTCATCATTAATGGCTGCTTCCGAGGACACAGACACGCTGTCCAAATACTCTTCCGTATCCGAGTCACGTTTCTCGCACTCATCCTCGAAGGATTTGTTATCACAGGACATAAAGTCCTCGTCATCTTCATCGCTCATATCGTCATCCTCGTCGTCATCACCATCATCATCATCATCATCTTTGCCTTCCACTTCCTCCACATCGGGTATCCAGGCGGCCTGATAATCGCTGTAGCCTTTGGGCACCCGCTTGATAAGCTTTGTTTTCTTAGTCTCCTTTTGTGCGGCCTCGATTTCCTCTTCTGTTGGCCACGTTTGCTCGGCATCCATGGGATCGGGTATGTTCTCGGTCTGCAGCGACGTTTGCTTCTCTGGATTGCTACGGTCGAGCAATCGCACTTGTGCTGCTTCTCCATCGCGACTCTTGTCCAACTTATAGGGATCGGGCGGAGCATCCACCTGGCCAAGTTGAAAATCACCCAGCCCGGGTATATGCACGAGTCCATTCACATTCAGCGACTGTCCACGTAGATAGCCTGTAACCTTGAGAGTGCCCAACTCCCCATTAGGCACATATTCGACCACATCGCCAAACAAGTTGGGGCGATTGTTAACATTGTGCAGCAAGCGCTTCTTCTGCCCACCAATACGTCGCATGACATTGAGTCCCTCGGGGGCGGTGTCCAGCTGCATGATCTTTTCCTCTGGCAGCAGCTTGCTGATAAACTTCTGCGCCGCTTGCTTTGCAGCAGTGCGACGCTTTGGATTAATGGATTCCAGATCCATCAGCGCTACAACTGGCGTCGGTATGCCCTGCGCTGAAATCATGTTGAACACACGCTGTCCCCAACGATCAAAGATGTCATCCTCGCCAAAGGCGGCCGACGTCAGCATCAGTGTGGTGTCGCACACCTTCAGATAGTCTAGGACAATTAGCTCGTTGCCACGTCCAACGGGCGGCATGACAAAGGCAAAGCGCTGCTTGAAGCGCGGCAGATTCATATAAATGACGCCGCTAGGTGACCTATCCACAACGATTTCACTGTCGCAGCTCTCGAGTATTGCGAGCGCCGAGTTAGCATCGATTTGCTCGTGCATGGGCAGCAAGCACACCAGAAATGGTGCGGTATTCTGGCCACCCAACTGACGCTTCTGCATCAAGACTTCGTCGCGTTTGTTTTTGCGCAGCTGATTCATTTGATTGCGTCGTTGCTCCTTTCGCTGCTGCAGCTTATGCTTATGCGAGATGGCTTTGAGACCCACTTTGCCTAAGATAAGCAACGCAAATTCAAGTTAACATTGTGTGCCGCACTTGTAGAAGGGATACACACCTTTGAGGGCATTGTCGATGGCGCCCTTGGAGCGATGACGGCCCGTTTTATGGGCTTTGTTTGTTTGCTTCAACGGGCCAGGCCGATGAAATGCATGATCCGCCATGTTTGACTTGTTTATTACCACAATTCAACAGCAAAATAATAATTTTCACGTTGCTATATTTTCAAAACGAGCCAAGCACATGTTTCTACGGCACTTATCGATTTTCAGTTATCGATGACAAGTTGAACATAGTGTGGCCACACCAATACCAAGCGCTGTTGAACATGCAACAGTGTTGGTTAATCTATTACCACCGTTTAGTGCGCGTATTCAAATTTCAAATAATAGACGTTGCAAGTTCTTTTTAAACCACATTCAATGTAAATATGTATTTGTTGTTATGGTATATTTGTAGTACATTACATATGTATGCATGCATGCAAGCTGCTTGCTTAAATATAACGCTGTTTATATTATATACGTAGTTTACCTTTTTATATGATATAAAGTTTGCGTTGGTATTCCGAATGCATCCGTAGTTGAATAGTTGTAGTAAGTAACAGCATATATGTATTGCATATAGAGCATGCCCAAGATTACATAGAATTTTAGCTAACTTAATAAGATAGAGTATTTAATAGTTTAAATTTAATTTTCCGTCATTGGTGTAAATAATTTAAAATAGTTGTAGTTTTTAACATTTCAGTTTTTGGTAATAGCTTTTTTTTTTGGTTTTTTTCTTTTTGGTTTGAGGATAAAACTTAACGGTAGACATAACACTTAACGATACTTAATAAAACACAAGTCTCAGTTAATAGAATTAATAGTTTTGGTTTAGGTAAATTGAGTGATTGTTTTTCATTAATTGGATTTGGTTCAATCTAGATTGGTTGCTCCTGAGCAATGCCTTTATATAGAAGCTAACGCTCATGCGTACAATTTTACATTCAATTTTGTAGTATATATTTTCGGTTCACATATTTGATGGCCACTAATAGGCCTATTATAATAAGTACAAATTAACATGCCGGGTTCGTCAACGACGTGCTGGACAAATATCAATGTAGCATGATTTTGCTGCACATTGTGCCGATTCTTCGGGCTTATCAAGGACCTTACCGTTGTCCTTACCAAAAAATAAAGTATGCGCTTGTATATAGATATATGTATGTATATGTATTCATGTATATATTATTCATTATTAATGCTATCAAATGGCCAATCGGGCCGTTCTCCATACTCGTACCCTTCGAATTTCAATTTACATACAAAGTGCTAAACATAGCTCTAACACTATCCCGCCAGGGCCTACATATACATTCTCTCAATAACCAATATTTTTTGTCAGTTTTGCATTTTTTTCTATTATTATTATTTTTTTTGTTTGTTTGTTTTTTTTTTTTTTTTTTGTCGTACAAATTTGCGCTTTGTTTTGTGAGCTACTCGTGTTGGTTTTGTGCGCGTTTTCATTGTGCGGAGGCATGAACAAATTACATGTTCCGACATTGAGCACAAACGGACCGTGCCTTTGTATTGTCACGCACAAAATCATGCACATTGAATTTTCCATCATCGCCATGGTCGTAGCCGCGGCACTTCAGCTGTCTGTGGATAAAAAATATGGAGTGGGCATCGAGTTAGTTTTTGTCGAAGCATTGGCAAGCTAATCAAATATAACTAAAAACTTAAGTGCGTAAAGAGAGTAATTAGTGCGACGCTTAAGACTTCTTCAAAGTTCAACTTATGAAACACAATACGAGTTTTAAGAACTAGTCATAAGAGAGTTTGCCGAGTTGGGACATTAAATTCATTAGTTTGCGCTCTTAAAGTTCGAGAGTGCACTCAAATGAAAGCAAATAAATCGTCGCAAGCTTGTTAGAAACTTAAGTCAAACTCTTTTGAGTCGTTTTATCTGCTGGCTTGGCTGGAATATTGGTTAACGCTCACCTGGCCACCGCTGTGAATGCCAGCTCCACGTTGAGTCCCGTCTTGGCCGATGTCTCCATGAATGGCACATTGTGCTCACGTCCAAGTCGCTCGCCATCCTCCCGCTTCACCTGCCGCTCGCTGCTGCTGCAGTCGGCCTTGTTGCCTGTGTGCATGGACCGATGACGGGAGTAAGAGAGGAAGAGGGTGAGCGGGCGAAAGAGAGTGCATTTGAAAGGCGACAAAAGTTGCAAAGTTTTTACTCGTAATTCAATTAACTGGCCACCAGTTGGCAGCAGGCAGCTGGCGACTGCAGCAGGCTGCCTGCTGCAGAGCTGCCTTTAATCAAATCTATTCTGGTTTTATAGCCGGCAAACTGAAGCTCACCTATTAAAACGATGACCACATCCTCCTGCGCGTACTCACGTATTTCGCCCAGCCAGGCGCGTATGTTGTCGAAGGTGGTCTTATTGGTCACATCGTACAGCAGCAGCAGCGCTTTATCATCACATGCAAAATAATGTTAATGAAGTAATTGACCAAACCATCGTCAGAGTGGAGTCGTAGTGGGAGTGGAAGTTGATGTACTCACCATGAGCGTCGCGATAATAGGCGTGCGTTACGCTGCGGAAACGCTCCTGGCCAGCGGTGTCCCAGATCTGCAGTTTGACGCGCGTGCCGTCAACAACGACCACCTTGTTCTGCAGGCCATGCAATTGAGTTATGCAGGATTATGTTATGCAAAAAGAAATTTGATTGTCATGAAAACACAATTGTTAAACAAAATGCAATTAATTTACGAAACGTGCATGCCAAAGAGAATGCCAATTAAAGATATATGGAGCGACAGAGAGAGAAAGAGACAGAGAGAGAGCGCGTGAGAGACACGCGGCGTATGCCTAATTTAATACAGGGCCATATTGCGTATACGCCGCATGAGCCACATAAACGAACAAAATGCAAACATATCAAATACTTAAATACTGAAATACAATTACAGTTTACATGCAGATTCAGCATCTCCTTAATGCTACAACTGATGTGGGCGACCCTGCACTAATGAGGGGCTACTCAGACAGTCAGTCAATATAATAAAAGTGCGCAGGCATAACGACAAACAACATCAAGATGTGTAGCATATATATATATAAAAAAAAACATATATGAATTGGAAAAGCAAAGGCAAAAGGAAAACCTGAGGCAAACGTCAAACTTCTAGCTAAGTAAACAAAAAGTCAATGCACCGAATACAATTTACTGTGAAATTCATTTAGTGGAGAGCCCATTGGAAACGGTCTCTAGATAAATAATGTATTTAGAAATATGTGCATACAAAGGAGAAGTGAAACATAAGTGTACATACATACATACATACATACATATACATGAGCATCTATGCGTATCTTTTGTATTCGCGTATATCCCAAGGTTACGGGCCTAATAAATTCACGAGTTCAATGAATGCTTTTAACTTCTAAAATGGTCAAAGTTACAATATATTTCGTTTTGTTCGTTCTTTTTTTTAACCACAAATATTTGCATATATTTACTTAACAAGTTAACAATTTAAAGCTGAACAGGCGAAATTCATGGAAATTAATTGGTATTCGATTGGATGCCTAAAACCTTTGCCATCAATATTGTTGCATTATAAATAAGCTTGGTTTTCTGAAATGGCTGTTTATTGAATTTAGTTGGAAATTTTACATGTGATATTTGCACAGTTTTAGTTTAAATGGAGCAACAGGGAAATTGCAGGCATGCGCCCAGAAAAGGAACACACGTGTCCATTCAATGAATGCTGTACAGCATTACAAAGGACTCTAAGGAACAGTTGTATTGCTAATGGCAGACATGGCAAATACTTGTAGTATTATTGCAATTTAATAAATTTATGTGCCATGTGAGCCCTCGGCAATTTTCACGATAATAAAACCTCGAGAACTTGAAACAAAAACCAACCACAATAATAAGTATAATAAAAGCAACAACATCAAGTTAAATACGAGTAACAACAAGTGTACGAGAACGAGCAGCACACACACACACACACACACACACACACGAGGAGACACACACACGGAGGCACACACACATGCACAAAGAGACACACAAGCATCAACAAGTCCTTTTCAAGTTCATATGCTTTTTAATAAATAGCCCCCGAAGAACTTTTGCCGCAGCAACGCCGCCGACAACTCTAGGGCAAATGTCCACAGAGCTGGGCGGGGCAGACGGGGGGCAGGAACCTGAGCTAAGCTGGCGGGAAAATATTTTACTGAAGTGAAACCGAACAGCAGCTGGAGAACATGAAAACCACAAAACAAACAGACAACAGCAGCCCACACACACATACACACACACACACACACACACACACAGGCATACAAAATACGTTACGTCAAGCAATAGCCGATAGTCGGATACCCTGCAGCGCGCACAACACATGGGAATTACAACAGGTATTACATAAATACTTAACACAGTTTATAAAGCAGCTTATAATGCACACAGATTACAGGGTATAAAACATAGCAGGCGATGCGGTTTGTTGGGTTTGGGCAAACACAGAAGCTGGGGTTTGAGCGAGGAGTTAGATAAACTGAAGTTCAGACAGAAACAGACATAGATGATGGAAAAGTTAATGTGTGTAAGCAGGTGAAAATCGTATTCAAAGCCTTGACAACTGTTGACAGGGTACAGACACATCAGACAGGGCAACATAACAGCGGCGGGATAGAGAAAGAGATAGAGAGAGAGAGAGAGTGAGCGAAAGATAGAAAGAGAAAGAGAGATAGACAGACATACAACAATTAGTAACAACAATATTAACAACAACAACAACACAGAGAGAGTGAGAGAGGGAGAGAGAAGGAAATCGCTTACCCTAAAATCAATGCCAACTGTGCTCAGAAAATAGCTGGGCACATAGCGACCATCGCGAAATCGAATCAAAAGCGATGTTTTGCCCACTCCCGAATCGCCCAGCATTATGACCTGGCCAACAGCAAGCGTATGTGTGTGCGTGTGTATGTGTGTGTGTGTGTGTGTAAATGAAGAAAAATACATTGAATATTATACACAAATAATTTATGGAAAGTGTCGTATGCTCCAGCTCAAACGAGCCCCATAATTTATGCGCGCCCATAATGTGCAACATATAATAATGATATATCACCTAATATATATAATATATACAATATATGGCTTAGTGAAGTGCCCAAAAAGCCGCGCACACACCGTGCCGTGCATAACTCGTGCGGTTTCTATAGAATTTCCCCGAAAAAATCACTTTTGTGTTGACTTTCTGTTTTAGTTGGCTGCTTGGCCAAATTGGCTGCTACCCGGCTCCAGTTCTGGCAATTAAAACCGTAACGTTATATCAAATATAAGCAGAGAAAGAGACTGGGTCGGGCTGCCGCAGTGGCATCTCGTTTCTGGTTTTTAGCATGGATGCAGTTGCACAAAGTCTGCGCCGCAAATTGTTTTTACGAGCTCAACATACCAATGTCTGTTTAGTTATTTATGCAACTAAACTAAAACAATGGAATACAATTTAATGCCCAGTTGAGCGCTTAATCAAAAGCCAGTGTGTTAATGTTAATTTATGTATATTATTTTAAGCATTTAAGGACAAGAGACACAGACAGTTTTTCAATAACTGTTTGCTCAAGTGTTACAAATTTATATAAAACAAAGAGCACGTTTTTTAATATTGTCTTTCTTTTTTGGTCTTTTACAGCGCACAGGCATTAGAAATGAGCCTAATCTCGGCCAGAAACGCTTAAAGGCACATTTTGTTATTTGGATTTCAGTAGGAACAGGTAAATACGGCTGTAATACATATATCTATATAAGGTTGAGGCGCACGTTAGGCATTTCTCAAGTCAAAGGCATTTTAGGCACTTCATTAGCAGTTAACAACTAGCAAAAGGTGTCTGACACAGCTCTGCAAATAATTCAGCTAATTTGCGTATTTGCAATTGCCGAGCACACGCAAGACTTAACCAATTAACGGCCAGCATACGCGGCGTATACGCAATTTCTGTTGAATGAATTGCGAACTTATGCCCGAAAAACAGAGTGAAAAGAGAAATTAAATTAGATTACTAATAACTAAGCATAACTTGGCAACGGATTAGATTAATTAGTTAATATTTAATATATTTTGCTTTTAAAGCTAACTTCTCTAAACGAATCTAAGCTGCAAGAAATGATATCAAGAATTTTATGTTGCAAGCGAATTGAAGCTGTGCGCATAAGTTTTTCTTACTTATTTTTATTGCTCGTATTTATTTTATTTTACATTGTTTGTTTTTATGTCTGCAGCTGTGCGCAAGCAAGTCGCAGCCGGTGTCGGGACATTCGTCATAATTCTAGTGAATTGCGCTAATGAAAAGCATAAAACAACAGCTTAGCAGCTGGGTAACCTCCTGCTCCAGTTGACTGGAATAGCTGCCGGAAAGGCCGAAGGACACGCGAACGTGCAACTGCGCCACATTGCCATGTTGACAAGGAAATTAAGAATTTAGTAAGTGTTGAGCGTTTTCTTTGTTCATTGTTGTCTTTGAAAGCGGCGACAAATCTATTGTTTAATTTCCTTTTGTCACTCTGCAGCTGATTGAATTTTATGACTCTTTATCTGAGCTACTTATGTAAATCGCATTTCAAACCAGGCCAGGCCATAAAAAGGCCCAGATGCGAGTGCACAAGTCCTTAAAGGCGCAGAAAGCAGCCTGGAAGACAGGCAGGCAGACAGTCGGAAAGCGTAAATCAATTTGCGGCTCAGGTTTGATAAAGACTTCCTTTTGGATTCGGCAGCCTCTTTAGCCGCTTATAAATGCTTATAAATTTTGGTATGTCTTTTGTTGTCGTCCTTTTTGTAATGCAAATTGATAAATTTCATGCGCTCAACTCAAGTCAGAGTTCGCGGGTGTTGTTAACTTCAATTTCGTAAGAAAAAAAACCTCGCGAATTCTGTGTGTGTGTGTGTGTGTGTGTGTGTATTTGAGTGTTAGAGATTATTGTGTTTGCTTGTCACCTTGCCCATGATATCAAAGTCCTCATCTTCATCCTGACCGGGCGTGGAGGAGATCATGCGTATTAGTGCGCGTCCAGCGGATTTGCACAGCGTGGCCCCAGCGCCATCGTGACCAGGTGCCGCATTTGTGGCAGCAGCAGCAGCAGCAGAAGCAGCTCCCTCTGCAACGCCTCCACCTCCACCTCCGCCTCCGCCAGCTCCTACTCCGCCCGTATCCAGGAGCGGCTGCTGCTCGACAGCTGCTGAAATTCGCACGCTGCTTAGAAACCTGCTGCCGAAACCATTTCCACTCGACTGCTGCTGAGCCTGAGCCTGAGCCAGTGTCTGTTTTGATTGTTGCTGCTGCTGGAGATGATCGCGATAGAGCTGCGATGTGCTCATGTATTCTGGGAGCAGCGGCTGCTGGGATAGCGACTGCTGGCGCTGATGCACAATAACGCTGGGCCGCCGCTTGGGATAGCCATCATCGTCCGAGTCATCCGAGGCGATGCCATTGATCTTGTCCAGCGTCTTGGGCGGCAGCTGGCCGGGTGTTATGTGCTGCCAGGTGGGCTTCACCAGCGACTCGCGACGTGTCGGCGAGGCGCTGCTCACGGCTGTGATCAGCGATGGTTTCCTGGTTGCTCCGGTGCTGGGCCCAGCTATGGAATCGCTGCGATACCGTGTTTGCTGTCGTCGCATCTCGAAATCTTCAATTGTTCAGTGCAAGAAGCTGCTGAGTTGATTGGCGTGATTCAATTTTAAGCACGCTGCCAGCAAAGAATATAAATCAATAAACTAAATGTTACACATCGTCATCATGAACATCATAATGACGCATATTGACAGCACGAAAAACAACCCTCTGAAAATGAAGCCGCTTGCCTACGCAGAAAAAAGAACTCAGCCCAATCCCAGCATGAATTTCAACTTCAACTTCAACTTTAACTCAACAACTGGCAGCAACTCGCAGCTGTAAATCGAAATCCAGGCGCAAAGTTTGCCGAGGCAGCGCACAAAGCAAAAGGCAAAACTTTTGCCCAAAACTCATTAAAAATCATAAAACACACCAAACAAAAATAAAAAAAAAAGAAAACAAATGCTTAAATTTATACGCAAAAAGACGAAGAAGAAGAAGCTACGCGCTATATATAGTATGGCATTGTACATCATAATCGGAATATGACTGAAAATTTAATTAGCTTCGGCAGTTGTAATTTACTTTGGCCAGTTTGAGAAAAACAAATTAAAATTCAAATTCTGGTAGCGGTGCCTCAAAAGAGCCAAAAGGTACAGGTGCACAGGTGCAAATTGAATGTAATTGCCTTGCCAACGACAGGTTCGTTGTGCACAACCGAAACCACGCAAGGTTAACTCTCCTCCAGGCTCCACAAAAGCCTGTCATTGTCGTTGACAACGGCAACGCACAAAGGGGCCGTGGACGTGGGCGTGGGCGTGGGCGTGGGCCGGGCGCTGTAGCTGCTCGGTGTCGACATCTGCCTCAGCAGCCGGATTAAAACGCGGGCGTATCGCGGCCACGTCGCTAAATCAACAGTTGGCAAGCAAAACCACAAAAGCCAACAAACACGCTCCGCACAAAAGCACAACATACGGACGGATAATAATGAGAAATTGAAAAGGATTCAACACGAGGAAACCAGGAGGCCCACCCAGAAGTGCCAGCCACGTGATTAACCTATGCAACTGTTTTGGCATTTACACTGGCCAACAAAGCACGCAGCAAACACTTCTGGGAGTTCGTTAAAGTTTCATGTTGCGCACAAAAACTTTTTAAATAATCATAATTAACAAGCCATTCCAAATGCAGCCAGTTTACATTCTAAATGAAAATTTAGAATAATATATGCTTTCAAAATTTAGTTGCTAAATAGTTGTTAATTGATGTGTAGCCTTATGCTGCTGGGGCTTATGTTGTGGACATGTTGTATAACCTTATATACATATATTCTTGATCTGCATAAACAGACAAGGCAAGATGGACCTTCCCTTCGACTGTTTGTCTGTCTGTTTCTATATAAACTAATCTCTCAGTTTTGAGGCCACTTAAAGTACATCTGTTGCGGCACGAACAATTTGCGACAGTTTAGATATAGTAGATACGATAGTTCAGCTAAGAGATATACTTGTTATCTTTAGTCGGAACTATCGTAAATTGTTTTCATGCATACATAAGTTGCTTCCCTTGAACATAACTTAGCTACGATTCCAGCATCGAATCCCTATAGCTCCTATAGGCCCTGTTGTAACAAATCTATTGAACTATATGTAAAGCTGTTCTCTCTTTAAAGTCTCTATCTCATTAATTTTGTATAAAATGGTAAATAGCTTGGCAAAGCGAATGAAAGTAGCAGAAACGTCTGTCGATTGATGGCAACTTCTTGCAGCAGCGAGAAGCATTTGTGGGCGACGCACATTTTGGTCGCCTGTCGGGCTGTACTTAAATAGGATTTGCGGTCAGAAGAAGTTTGTCAATAGCCAATATGGCTGGAATGCATACAAGTTCACATTTTGCCATTGGTCAACTCTTTGCCAAGCAATGTCGAGACTTGTTTGGTTTTTCCCTGCACACACACACACACACACACAGATTACACACACAGATAGCGACTTGGGGGCGTGCGCTTGCTACGTGGGATTTCTTAAACGTTGGCATTAAAAACGTTTTATATATATATATGTTATGTATAGTGGCTGTATGGCAGGCAGTCAGGCGAAACTTATTTGGTCCTGTCTGGGACGTCAGTGTCTGGGTAATTGTGTTGAACTAAAATCAAGCTCGAGGAGGGCTCCGCTTTCCGCACGGAGTTCAACGCACGTGCACAGACTCGACTACACTTGAGCGGCAATTGGAAGAGCCAAGTGCTGGGGTCAGAGACAACGCGTAATTTCTAGGCGTAATTTGTAAGCCGATATCAATTGAAGTCGCCAAAGTGCAAAGGACACTTTTCTGTTTTGTTCTTAAAAAAAAAAAAGACAGCAAAAAGTATACATTACACAATTAGAGCTCAGAGTTGAAGCATGTCGAGCTGGAGGGTATGGAATAATTAAAATATGTTTGCAAGAAATAAATGTTGCTTAAATGAATTCGTTTTGGATTCATGCAACTAATTCTCTGGCACAGAATCTATGCAACACACAAATTAAATTTGATTACATTCACTTGAAACTTAATTCGTAGCCTTTTCGAAAGGCGACCTTTTCTAGAGCCTGGTCAGCGTTTTCACAGTATCACAGTCGACCCATGAAATGACCTTCCCGAATTAGTTGGCTATTAAATGAAATGTAATCAACTTTACATTGCCAATCTGCGATGGCTGATAACAAAAGTTTTTAATTGGGTTGCCGGCGCAGTGTTTTTCCACGGTATAAAAAAAAACAGTGGAAGAAAAGTGCTGCCAGCGGAAAATTTAAACGGCATTGGAACTGTGAGACGCTTGAATGAATCGAATCGGCAACTTGAAGCATTTCTCCGCGTAATTACATCAATGTGCAGCACAAAAATAAATGGACCCTCCGTTTACGGCCGGTTGAGCACATTCGAAAAAGCCTACGCAGCAGCGGGTCAGTTGCTACGCATGTAAAAACTATATACACACATGTACATATACGGATTTGTGTGTACACATGTGTATGTCAAAGGCTTCTTGTGAGCATACCTTCATAAGGACACGGTTTGGACACACACAGACGCACGCACGCAGACACTTTCAATCATGCGCTCAATCACGCAGCTAAAACGAAGGCAGAATGCGCAGACATCGGGCGCATCTATCGGACAATGGCTTTCTGATTGCATGGACAGCTTTAAGGAAATGACGAACATTGGACACAGCAGTGCGTGTCCGTGTGTGTGTGTGTGTGTGTGTGTGTAGGTTGTGTGGGCGTTTTAGTTGATTTTAAGAGGAAACTGACGAGCCGTTGCTAGCCAATCGACAGCTTCACATTGATGATGTGCGGCTGCTGTAAAACCATTTGTGATGAAATCCATTCGACAGCTACTTGCAGTCGAGAACAGGACACAGCACAGCCCAGCACAGCAGAGGGGAGGCCACACGGGACACAGGAGGACACTGTGTGTGAATAGGCAACCACAAAGATTTGTGCTTGTAATCGGCTTAAATTGCATTTCCCATGGAAAATGTCGCAACTCGTTGCAATTCCCCACTCTGTCGCATATATTCAAAAGTAAGTTTTAATTAAGCTAGCCTTGAACCTGAGCTGCTTAAAGCTGTCTCCATGGAAGTTGCCGCAAGCCGGAAGCCTTTGTAATTGACTTTCCCCCATTAAACGCATTTTAACTGATGCTCGCATTCATATATTTAATGTATATTTGAGTTGGATAAATGAGGCTGCATTGAATCAATATATGGAGATAGAAACATATACATTTGAATGCAATTACCCAGAAGAATGTGAGCTTTGTTTTAGTTGCTAAATAGTTGTTAATTGATGTGTAGCCTTATGCTGCTGGGCCTTATATACATATATTCTTGATCTGCATAAACAGACAAGGCAAGATGGACCTTCCCTTCGACTGTTTGTCTGTCTGTTTCTATATAAACTAATCTCTCAGTTTTGAGGCCACTTAAGGTACATCTGTTGCGGCACGAACAATTTGCGACAGTTTATATATAGTAGATACGATAGTTCAGCTAAGAGATATACTTGTTATCTTTAGTCGGAACTATCGTAAATTGTTTTCATGCATACATAAGTTGCTTCCCTTGAACATAACTTAGCTACGATTCCAGCATCGAATCCCTATAGCTCCTATAGGCCCTGTTGTAACAAATCTATTGAACTATTTGTAAAGCTGTTTTCTCCTTTTAAAGTCACTATCTCATTAATTTTTTATAAAATGGAAAATAGCTTGGCAAAGCGAAT